CATATTGGCACATAAAACACATTAGGTAGTAGCAAACCAGACAATTATCACTTAGATAATCATCTCAACTATAATCAACTACTAGTGGGTTGGCCTTGGCGCCTTAGACGCACTTCTACTAGAAGGTAACTCATCTCATTGGCGTGTAGTGTCTGCACTGTCCTCGGTGTGAAATTTGACTCTTCCCGACTCCTCAATCCCTACACAACATCCTTTCTATATTATTATTTCATAATCATAGCTCTCACAAGGGTCAACTCTAGTCCAAGTCAAAACCATGGTCAGAGTCAACTTTGGTCAGAGCCAACATCTGGTTGACTAGAATCGCCGAGTCCTCACATCCACAAAAGCTACAAACCCTTCCCTACTCGTCGAGTCTAGCATGAGCTCGACGAGTTCGCATGCAACAACGCATCAGACCTTCTTCAACCAACTAGCCGAGTTCATCCTTGAACTTGACGAGTTCATCTTCATCCGTATGAATGACTTCAATCTATGACTTGCCGAGTTCCCCCTAGAACTCATCGAGCCCATCTTGATGTGGTTGGGACTAAGGATGAAAGTGGGTACAAACCCGGACCGGATGGACCCAAAACTGGTTAACGGGATTTTGTAGAACCGAAAACAGGACCGGTATATAAGAACCGGTTCCGGTTCGGTTTCGGGTTCGGGTTCGGTTCCGGTTAAAGGGGGTCTAGAAATGGAAAACCCGGAAACGCCAAAGTGGGTAGTTTGGAACCGGATAAAGTGGGTTTAGAATCGGAAAACCTGCAAAAACAAGAATTTTTTGGTAATTATTTACTACTTAGTGGGTTGAACTTTGAAATTTTTCATATTCATATCCCGAATTTGGGGAACTGTAACTCATTGAATAATAAACCAAATTTAACAAAATCATAGTCTAAAATCATGTACAAACTTTAAAATACTCTCTGGAGAAACCCGCATGTCAATCTGACTTTAAACCAATGAGATATGCATGTGTTAGCATTTCCCCATAATACAAAGTACAAAAACAAATAGCTTAAAAGTTAAAAAATTTCAGTTTTGATATCCCGACTTTGGAGGACTATAGATCATTGAATGTTAAACCAAAAATGACAAAACTATGGTCTAAACTCATGTACAAACTATAAATTACAAGTTGGAAAAACCACATGTCAATCCAAGTTGGGACATTGCCTTGAACTCGCTGAGTTAGCTCATACACTCGTCGAGTTCTATGATTTCCAGGCCCCTAACAAGCCTAAATAACTGAGGGGCCTTCAATCTTAGCATCTGGTCCATCAACATAAAGGATTTAATGGAAAATACGTCCCAACTTGCCGAGTCCCATGAACGACTAATTGAGCCCCTCTTTGTCCAAAACCATACAGTCGATTTTAGTGGGTTTCAAAGCATCCAAACTATAGATCTGACCTCCTAGGGTCCATAATACACGTAAAGTGACAAAAATTACATTCATGCATGGGCCATTTAGCTCAAAAGTCCCTGAAATGGAATCTTCAAGATGCATGGGGCTCTCATTGCAGTAAAGTTGGCACCTTTATGCCATGAGAACCCTCCTAGATTCGAGATCTGAATTTATTTCTTTACATAATGACCCACACCCGAAGGTAACCTAGAAATGCCCCAAAATGACATGATGCAAGCCCTAAAGAGGATCTAACAAATGTAAAGTCAAGGTTGAAGCTTTTTACCTCAAATGAGTTGGAAATGAAACATAACCTATGGATCTACTAGCTTCAACTTGAACTCCCAATCTCCTTCTTCCTTCAAAAGCTTCACAACCACCAAAAATGCACAAAATGGATCAAGAATCACTTAAACAAGGTTAGGGTTTCGATTTAGGGCTTCTCTGAGTTGGGAGGGATGATGGGGGTTGGTTTGAGGCAGAATAAGTCGTTTAAATAAGGTGCAAACCCTAAATATTAGGGTTTCATCCAGACAGCATCTACTCGTCTAGTTGGTCCCCTGACTCATTGAGTATATCACAAAATTTCCCGTGAAATGTCGAGAGTAATCGAAGAGTTGGGCCTCCAACTCGTCCAGTCCCTGAAAAAACACAAACTACTTGAATTTAAATATGCACCAGGAACCGGGTGTTACATAGCATCATCCTATATACCTGGATACCAATATAATAGATCACTATAGTACAATATCATGCATAATAGGATGTTAATCCAATGGGCTGTAATTGGTGCCTTCGACCTGCAAGTACAGTGAGGAAAACTCGCATCGCAAACTAAACATAACTGATGAGGCCCAACTCCTAATCTCAGCTCTCTAAAAGATACCTATTTCCACCAAATGACCGATTCCATTAAAATTCCAAAATACCCTCAGGTTCAAACTTGGTCAAAGTCAACTGCTAAACCCACTAAGGCAACCGAGTCAACTCAACAAGGCTAACCCATTCGAGTACGCGAGTTGTACTCCGGAGGTACGCTTAGCATATGTGAAGCCTCGCAGAAGATCACCATCGTGGTGGTTGACCGAGTACGCGAGGCGTACTCCTCTTTACGCGAGGCGTAACCTCACAACCCCAAAAACTTCATTAAGTGCTTAATGGCTTAAACACTCAAGCCTATACTTCAGATCAAAGGTCCAAATGCACCTTAGATTCATAAATTTTCCAACTTTATGACTTTACAAGTCCACAAAGTGCTTAACACAAGGTCTTAATCCATTAAGACCTTCTACAAGATGCATGAAACAATTATAGTAATTGGGACCTCATTTTTATGGCTTAGGACCCCTCCTAGGGTCTGGAAGGACAACTCAAAATGACAATAACTAATCATTCACAATATGGGACCTTTAGGACAAGAAAAGCAACATAAAACACCCAAAAATAGGATCTAACAACCAAGACATCAAGGTATAGATTTTATACCTTTTGGAGCTTCTTAAGAAGGAAAGAATCCCAGATCCACAGGCTTGTTCCAATTCAAGGATCCTTGATGCAACTTCTTCTTCCTTTAACACACCTAAAACACACTCTTGAGCTAAAAACAAATACTAAGGGCTAGAGTTTGCAAAAACATCTCAAAGGATGTGGAGGCTGAAACGGTGGGTTGAACTGAGCCATAATGTTTCTTAAATACCACCCAAACCCTAAAAATTAGGGTTTCCCCCTGATATTAGTACGTCGTGCATACATAAGTGTACGCACAGCGTACACACATGTACTATTAGCGTACTACTCCTGCCCAAATTACGAAATTGCCACTAGGGCTTCAAAGCATATTTCTTGGACTTAGGGAGCAATTTGATATGAAATAGAATTTTATGGATGAATTTAAAAGTACCTGAACATTGGGATGTTACACTTTGACCATTGGTCTAAGTTTGGGGTTTTGGGATCGAACGAAGGGCAAAATGGTCCTTTTACCCTAAGTAGGTTTAACTGTGGATTTTGGACTCGTGAGTCGTTTTGGACCTTAATTATTAATTAAGGTTAATTGTTTTTTTTTAGTAGGCAGAGTCTAGATCTGACAGTTCGGGTGCTAGGTTTTTCGTGTCATTAATATCAGGTGAGTCTCCTTACCTATTCTGACATGTATGGTAGGCTAGCTTTATTATGACGACCAACTAGGTCTAGCTACTATGATATGTTATGTTATGATATTATATGTGACTGGGCTACTGATAGCCAATTGGGAGTTGCTGATAACCCTACGAGCGTGTTGTTAGCTCACCAGGACTATTGATAGTCCCAGGATTGCAGATAACCCATAGTATCTTGGGGAAATCACTAAGATTTGTGCTTACAACTATAATTTATATATCGCATGTACTTCGCAGGACTGCGGAAAAGCAAAGGTCTGATTCCAAGCAGGGAAAAAAGTGGGAGGCCCAGAAGAACCCCCATCAATGCCCCAAGGAGAAGTTGAGGCCCATTCCACACTACCAGAATCTTTGAGCAAAGAAGAATCAGAAGGAAATTGAGGAATAGCTTGAACAGGAACATTGGGTTGCTTGGACGCCCCTTGGATCCCATCTAACTGTTGAACTTCTTCATCGGGGATCACAACAATCACCGTCGGTATTGAGGATATCGAACTCAGAAGGCGGGCGAAGCCACGCCTTGTCTGAACCCGTTTAGCAACATACGGTACACCGATAACTGTCTTACCCATGGCTAAGATAGATTTCCTCTTGGCCTACATATGGCGGACATCAAAGATAGATCTCCTCCGCCTCAGTCGAACTGGAGTGAGTTCCACCCATGGGTACGACAGTTGAAATTGAGCAAGCGGACAAAGTGCTTCTCCCAACTGATGATGACGTCTTGCCGACTATAGGAGTAGTAGAAGCAATAGTAGTTAGGGAAAGCTGGTCAAGGCGGCGCGACGGAGGAAGACGATAGACCAAATCAACCTCTTGGTGCTCCAGCTTCCCCTAGTAGCGCTTTCGTAGCACCTCATCCATGGACAGGGAGGATTCAACACTTACAAACGGTGAAACACGGGGAAGACCAATAACCAACGTTAGGATCAAGCAAAGTAAAATCCTAACCCAAAAAAGAGGAAGAATAACGGGAGATAATACGAGCACTTACCATCGACAATGGTGTCGAAGACCGCCATCTTCCCACATCGCCTCCAGGAGGGACTCATTCCCACGTCGGCCAGTAGTGCCTCAGAGTAGTCTGTCAGGGTGACCTGGATATTCTTCAGGAGGTCAGCAATACCTTGGTTATGCAGAAACAGTTTGGGAGTAGTGTCGGCAAAGGAGTTAGCACAATACTATCCACTACCCGCCAAACCGCGATTCACCCACAACCACTTATCTAGCCAGTTCTTCGGGGTTCTCCCATCAGGAATCAGGGTGTTCCCTCCTCGCCGGATGGAAAAAGTGCACTTGTCACCAGTGCATCGGAACCTAAAAAAGTACTTAAAGATGAAGTAGTTAGGGAGAATGCCATTGGCACGACAGATCATCTCAAGCATCACTACCTTATTCACGGTATTGGGAGTCAACATCTGGATGCTTCAACCGTCCTTCTGCAAGACCTCCTCCTGGAAATCAGTAAGGGGGAGGTGTAGTCCGGCGTCAAGGGTCTTAAGATAGACCCCCACCTTTCCAGGAAGAGGAGACATAATGGATGAGCCAGGTGATGGGAACTCGACCCCGTCCGCTGAAGAGAGGCCATACGTCTCAGCCAGGAACTTGTATTTAACTTCAGTGGGAAGGGTTCCAGAGGGATCAACCATGGAAGAGAAGAGGAAAAGAACCTTAGAAGAAAGAAGAACAAAAGAGAGGAAGCGTGAAGAATAAGGAAAGAACAACGATAAGTGTTCTTATATAAGAAAGGAAAAGGCAGGATATTCAAAATCTCTAACAAAATGACGTAACCGCTAGCCATGATGAGCGGTCACGTCATCATTAACAACCGGAACGGAGGGCGAACAAAAAACAGACACATATAGAGCAATTAAGTCCAGAACGCCATAGTTAACGCATCAATGCTACGTCTACCAGACTGGGGGACTTGATAACATCTCCTAGCCAGCAAGAAAGAGTCGCGCCCAGCTCAGACGGCTGACGCGCCCGGCAGACCAGGCATGTCGGGCTTAACCCCCGCCAGCGCCCCTAAAGGCAGGGCGCTCTGGCAAAAGAGTAAGCACCCGCCATAGGTGTCCTTGTGATAGGCTCGCGCCCGCCAAGGGCACCCTCAGCTCCAAGAAAAATGATACGGTCAGGCGACAAAGCAAGGGATCATAGCATTACCGGCAGGACCATGGCAGCGCTCTGACAGATAGAGGAGCACGACCTTCCAATCAGCGCCCCGAATCTTGTCGGCCCAGGCAATCGTATCTCGTACGGACGAGCAATATCGCTGAGTATAGAAGGGGAACGCTCACGACCCCGGCGGGTAAGTTGTCTTCCCCAAGCAACACTTAAAAGCACTCGTATAACCCTATTAACTTGACTATCGGAGCATCTTTCCGGGAGCTTCCTCCCGGGAAACGGCTGACAGCCTTCTTTCTCTGTGATCTTGTAGGAGCAGCTCAAGAACTGTTGCCATCATCTAGTGAGAACTAGAGTAAGGTCACATCAATAACATAGATGGTGTTTGAGACATATACTTGAAAATATGAAGCTACAATGTGTAATATATATATATATATATATATATATATATATATATATATATATATATTAATTTTTGTTTGATAAGATATAAAGTAAATTACACGAATGGTCCCTATGGTTTAAGGTAAATTTTGTGTTTGGTCCCTAATTGTTTTTTAACTCAGAATGTCCCTACTATATGTTTTTATTGCATGTTTGGTCCCTAGTTGAACTGAAAAGATTATTATGCCCTTATTAAAATCTTTATAATTAATTTTATGATATATATATATATATATATATATATTATAAATAAATTTATGATATATATTAATAAATTAAACAAATTATCATCCCTAAAACCTAAACCCACCATCGGTCACCTGTTCTCTCTTCCTCGAGGATACCTTTCGTCACCAACAGCTCATAAGCCACAAGTATTCTCGATGCTTCTGTTCACAAGAAGATGAAGGGGCTGGTTGAGTAGGAGTGGTTCACTGGAGGTGAAGGACTGGTAGAAGATTTTTAGAGTGAGAGCAAATCGGAATACAAACCCACCACTGTGTTGTCGCTTCCTCCAGACCACACCATCTCGCCGGTCACCACATCACCATCGTCGAGCAAAACATCATGAATTAGAGTTACCATCACCATCGATGACGTGAATCAAAGCCACCACACCAACATTATTGCATTCAGACATTGAAATTGTTGGCTGCTTTGGAATCGATGGTTGCTTCCTTGAGACTACCTCGGGTTGATTTTGATTTTGGAATTGAGATATTGAAAGTGTTGGTTGCTTTGGAATCGATGGTTGCTTTGGAATAGGATTTCACCCTTTTTTATTTTTCTTTTGAAATCTGAATTTTCATTAGGTTTTGATTTTGAGATTTGATTTTGATTTTGATTTTGGAATCGAGATTTTCACTAGGTTTTGATTTTTAACATTTTGATTTTGATTTTGTTCAGTTTTGATTACAACGTAACAAATTTAATTTTGATTTGGGTTTGTTTAGGTTTTGATTTAGTTTAATATTCGTTAGCTTCATCCTATGAAAATTGTAGAAGTAAGCATCATTACTGGAAGTTGTCGGAGATGATGGTGACCATGATAATCGCCGAAGAACATGATGATGAAGATGGCGATGACGGTATAGGATCAACGGTAGCATATAAAGAGCATTAGGGGTTGAGGACTTGAGGAGTATGATGGTGGCCCTATTTCTTTCATAAAATTATAATGACAAAAATAAATTAGAAAAATATATAAAACAGATTAATAAGTGCATAACAATCTTTTTAAGTTAAATAGCGACCAAACGTGTATTAAAAATGTATAGTAGTGATCTTACGAGTTACCAAAAAAAAAAAAAAAAAAAAAAAAAAAAATCAAACGCACAAATTACTCAAAACTAGAAGGACCATTCGTATAATTTTCCTTTATATGGACATCTGTCGAGTATGGTGTCAGTTCTATATATAAAATGTTATTAAAAAAATTAAAAATGGAAAAATAAACCGTGGCATTAATGTAATTGCAACATGAATGACAATGATGTGGCTTAAATTTATTTGCTTCTTAAAATATTATTTTTAGACATCAAATCCCATGTCTGAAAATATCATGTAAGCTATAATTAAGTGCATAATAACTCGTTGGAGTGGCTAACATAATGTAGAACTTTTTTTGTTTTTTTTTTTTCACGAGGATGTCGAACTGTGAGTGGCTAACATAATGATCGAGTGCCCATAGAAACCATTTCAAAATTAGAACTAAAATCTGCACACAAGACTTTGATCATTATTAAAAGTATAATACTTGGAAATCACATTTAATAGGTCCTATCAGCAAAACTTATTCATTGTGAGTGATAAAACATTTGTTGAAATTTAATTGTGTTATAAATATTATGGTGATACTTTATGTTGATTAAAAAGCTAAAATTCGTTCAAGTTAAATTAAGTTAAGTCCCATATTTCCTTGCGAAACTGTGAAAAAAGCTTCCCGAAAATAATGGAGTGAGGCTTCTCCCAGCAAATAATAATGGAACATTAAAAGTTATCTACCAATTTATAGGTGGAATGTGAATGATTTCACCAACCCATTCTTTATTGTTTAAAACAAAACACAATCAGATTCAAACAGAGGCAATATTTCGCGTGTTGTTAACCACACCCTGCACACCGCCCCTACCACACTCAAAATTCAAACCTCAACAGTCAAAGTTTTACACAATATGCTTGTTTTCTGTTTACATTCATCTAAGTCACCTCCATTATAACATTTTATATATACTTTATAACATTTTAAATAATTTCTTATTTACCTGTGTAACGAATCACATCAAATTGATCACTATGAATTGCATAATATTTTTAGCTTTTTACCGATAGAATAAAACTCTTTGACAATATGTATTAGTTTTATTATTATTATTATTATTATTATTATTATTATTATTATTATTATTTCATTTAACACCCTTTAGTTAGAAGTTTTCAAATATATTTTTAGCTTGTTAGTTTTTGTTTTAATCTTAATAAGTTTATAATTTAATATTAACATATATTTATTAAATATATTAAGTTTATATATTGTTGATGGTGTAATCGTTAATTTTCTAAGCAAATAAAGTTCGCTAACATGATTTCCGTTCTGGACGGTTCTCAAGACATCACATATCATGCATCTATTGTTATTGCTAAAGATTTTATTGCATATTAGAATGTTTTGATGCATACAAAATCGTGTATATTGTTCGATTGAATGCATAAATTCCAAAACGTTTTTTGTGTAGCCATATCCAGATGTGTTGGAAATGTGTCATCCTCAAGTGTCCCATTGTTTAAATTTCATAATGGACAAAAAATATATAATTAAGAGTAGGATTAGATGGTGTGTTTGTTAGCCTTCTAAAAAATAGAAAAATTATGAAAATAAAAATAAGGATTTACGTCATTTTAGTAACTGAACTTTTCTGAGTATTTTATTTTAGTTCTTATACTTTTTTTAAGTTACCATTGATCATTGCACTTGTTTTTTTTTCCATTTATCATTATATTGGTGATAGCATTGAACAACTTAATCAATGTTATAATTAGTCCTTGAACTTTTTTGTGTGTTTTATTGTACTCATTATACTTTGTTTAAGCTACTATTAGTCATTGGACTTGTTCAAAAATTTCATTTTAATCACTCTGCTTTATTATTATCGCTTATGTTTGATAGTGAAAATACATGTTAGGGTTTCTTTTGTATTCCATTCATTTATATAGTACAACCAAAATATAATTACACTGAGGACCCATATATTATGTGAGACTATAAATAACTATACACAACAAATAATATTCAAAAACTCCCCCTCGGTTTGAGCAGGGGGCTGACGAATTCTTAGACTATTCCTAAAATCAATGAATAATTGTGTAGGGTGTCCTTTAGTAAAATTATCAGCAAACGAGTGAACTGATGGAACATGTAAAACGTGAACCTGTCTAAGTACATAACACTCACAATGTCACACAACACAACAATGGTTCGAGTTAAAGGGCATGAAAGTTTGAGGAAAAGATTGTGAAGCCATGCAACTTCAGCAACAATATTATCTACCCCCGATATCGGCTTCGATACTGGACCAAGAGACAACACTTTGACATTTTGAAGTACAAGAAATGAGGTTATCACCATGATAGGCACAAAATTCGGATGTGGATTGGTGTGTATGAGGACATCCATCCTAATCAGCATCATAGTTGGAGACCAACAAATTGATATATATATATATATATATATATATATATATATATATATATATAGAGAGAGAGAGAGAGAGAGAGAGAAACCATGATAAAAAGTGCCATTAAGATAATGAAAAATGCATTTTAGGGCAAAGAAGTGTGGTTCACAAGGGTCATGCATAAAGAGGCAGACTTGTTGAACATCATGGGCTATATCTGGACGGGTAAATTTCATATATTGTAAAGCACTAGCTAAACTTTGATATAGGGTCAGATCAAAAATTAGGTTTCTAGAAGGGGAGAGCTTTGATTTTGTGTCCATCGGAGTACTATATGGGTTGCAGAAGATCATGTCAACACGAGACAAAATCTCCTTGGCGAATGCAGATTGAGAAAGAAACAAAACTTGAGTGTTACGAGTAGCAACAATGATGAGAAAAAAGGATAAAGGGCCTAAGTCCATCATAGAAAACTAAAAATAAAGATGAGAAATAACTCTCATAACTAAGGAAGAACTTGAGGTAGTGAGAATAACGTCATCATCATAGAGTAGGAGGTAGATAGTCTCCAAACCACGATTGAGAGAGAGCTGTCAGAGCAACTGATTTTGAATTTAAGAGATGAGATGTAGACTGTAAATTGCTAATACCAGCCACGAGGGACTTGTTTGAGACCATAAAGAGCCTTGCATAGACAACACACATATTCTGGATGGTGAGGGTGCATGTAGTCGGGAGGTTGTTTCATGTAAACCTCTTTGGTGAGATATCCATGCAAGAAGACATTTTTGACATCAATTTTATGAATATACCAATGACGAGAAATAGTGATGCTCAGGATAGCTCTAATAATTGCAAGTTTGAAAACTAGGCTAAAGGTGTTATCAAAGTATAGACCTGGTTGTTGAGAGAAACATTGAGCTACAAGGTGACCTTTATAGTGATCAAGGTTGCAATGAGAATTAAATTTATGCCAATAGAGCCAGCGACACACAACAATGTTGGCAGTTGGAGGATAGGGAACAAGATCATAGGCCTGATTGGTGGAGGAAGTAGACATTTCAGCATCATGACATGTTTTTAATTAGGATTACACATGGCCTGAGAAGTAAAGCGTGCAATTAGAGATATGTTAGAGATAACAGATAGTTTCATGAGGATACAAGGTTGGATGGCTGATAGTTCTAGGAGGGGAAGAAGAAGAAGAACCAACATTAGAGGATGAAGAATCCTCGTAGGCTCCGAGGGAGAAGGAGTTGAGGTGGGAGTGAGAGTAAAAGTTAGCATCGCAGGGTGTGGTGGTAGGAAGAATGATAGGGGTAAGGTTATCATCAAAAGATACGATCGATTCGTAGTCAGAGATAGAAGGAGTAGAGTGATATTCAGAGTACGAAAAGTGATCTTCATCAAAAATAATGTGACGATAGATGATGACACGTTAGGTGATGAGAACAAGGAACTTGTGAACTTTATGATCAGGAAAAGGACCAAGGTTCACACCAGTGGTAGAGTCATGAGAAAGTTTGTGAGGGGTGGTAGAGGAAGTGTTTGGGTAGCAAAGGCACCTAAAAACATGTAGGTGATCATAAGAAGGAAAGAAACCAAATAATATCTCAAACAGAGTTTTGTATGCGAAGGTCATGGTTAGAAGTAAGTTCAAAGTGTGAACTACAAAGAGAAGAACTTTAGTCCAACATTTTGTGGATAATGAGGCTTCGAAGAGAAAAGTTTGAATGATCCTATGTTTGATAGAAAATAGTTGTTAAAATTTCTATTGTATTCCATTGTTTTATAGAGTACAACCATAATATAATTACACTGAGGATCCCTATACTATGCGAGCCTATAAATAACTATACACTACAAATAATATTCTAAAAAAAACTACTATTTTTTCTGTTTATAAACAACTAAACT